TAAATAAAGGTGCACGATTGCTACCTCTTGGCTGGAGACCTCAAAAGAAAATAAAGGCAGACTATTTCCCAAAATTCCTCTGGTTCAACTACTTCCAACCCTTCCCTTCCTCTCCCTCCCTGCAGTCACTTCCCTTCACTTCCTTCCCCTGGAAATAAAAACAAACACACCAAAGGTGGGAATCTGCTGGACTCCGCCATCCGTCCACTCACCTCCACTCTGGTTGTAACGTTGTTGTGCAATTGCAAAATTCGCTCTGAATACAGCTTCTGCGTTCTGCGCTGCCTGAGTTTCCCCGACCCAGTATTGGGAATCTGCCTCCCCCACCTTCTCCATCCATGGGACTCGAGGCACAGTCTTCCGAGTTTCAGAATCATAGTAATAAAAGAGCTGGTCGTCCACGTAGCCCACAATCACGAAATGTGGCAGCCCTGGGCTGGACTCCGTCAATGTTGTGTAAAGGTAATGCAGGGAGTGGGAGGAGGCACCTACAAAGAGAGAGGGAACGATTGAGCAAGAGGACACGCCATGGGGAGACTCTCTTTGGAAGCCTCCTTCCCCGCTCACCTGGAGTCATCGCCGGCGCCGCGGTTCCCTTGGGCAGGGCCAACGCGGGACCCCCCAGGAGAGAGAGGCAGAGGCAGGCCCACCCCAGAAGGGGCCACAGGAGCCCCATCGTCCCGCTCAGAAAAGCGCCCGGACACCGAATGACGCAAACCAGAAGCCAGGCGGGTTAGGAAATCCCCAGGAAGAGCGCGGATTGGGCGAGGAGGAAACGCCCAGCCAATGGGAGAGAGGGATTGCCGTGTTGTCATCGGTTGCCGGGTAGAGGGAGAAGCGCCAGCCTGCGAAAGTTGAAAGAGAAAGTAACTCCTGCTGGGAATCCCCTCCGAGGGGCTTCTTCTTCTCCCCATTTTCCCCTGAGGCTGAGAAAGTGGGACACCCTCAAAGCCCTCCTGTCAATTATGTTGATTGTGTTCGTATTTCAAAGAAATACAGGGCTAAACCCACTGAAATCTGTACAATAGACAGTCCCATCTTGGCAGGCTTTGCACTAAGGAAACAACACCATGGATTACAGCGCCCCCGACTGGAGTTGTGCTCATTTATTATTTACTAGTAAGGTTTCAAGGCATTCAGTTCT